ATCATTATCATTGTTGTTATTGTTATTATTAATTGCATTTCTTTCCTTCTTAAAGTCCCCACAAATATGACTGGTAGAATAATGGTTGCTGTTCTAACTTAATTTCATGGCAATGATCATTTATTTTTGTTTTATCAAAACGTTATTTAAGTAAACCTGTTCTTTTTGTATGAAATGTAGACAAATAGCTACATCCTACATACATTTATGTAGTCCACCTTAATTGAAAAAAAGAACGAATTCCTTTAGTTTAAATGCTTAGAGGGGGGAAAAAATAAATACTGATTGTTGCCTTGCCTTCTGTGTTGATTTCTGATAGGCAGCATTAGAAGATCTTCATCAATGTCTTATATGGATGGATACGTAGGAACGTGGCCCAAGGAAAAAAGGTAAGCCTGCTGTCAGTTTAGGCTGTGTTAACTTAAAATAGGCACGCATCACTTAATATTACTCTGTGTTGCAAGAGGATTGTATCATAGTTTGAATATCTTGAAAATTCACATGCAACCTGAATATGCATGGAATAACTAGAGCTTGTTAAAATCGCTTTTGTATACTAGAACTACTGGGGTTTGGTCAAATGGTCCCTGGTCAAATAAATGTTGGGAACCACATGTTAGGACCTTGTCAGATCAAAAGACAATCTAGTAAAATGGCACTACCTAAAAGAACCCCACGCCTTGTGTGACTGTGGAGCAGAACAACTCTGCATCTGTATGCTTGTCCACTCTGCCCTGCCTCATGGACAGAGGAAGAATTGTTGGAGGATACAGACAATGCCATCGCTGTTGCCCGTTTTTGGTCAAAAGGTATTCAGCCACCTGTGCTCCTTCTTTTTTTATCAGTTTTATACTAATTTATGCAGTGCTTTTGATACGAAATAAATAAAGCACTTAGTCACTAGAATATAAAACCAGCATTTATGCTACAACAGGAAATGTTGGGTATTAATTACAATTAATATTAAATTTCAAATGGGAATTGATTTAAAGGTTTTCTCAGCTTTGTTTGTTTTTTAAATTCCCTTTTAGGTCCTCAGTGCATGGAGTTTCGTTTGACATTTCCTTTGATAAAGAGGACAGCATGCGAATTAGAACTCCAAACAGAGGCATTACTAGATCCCTCAGCAATGAAGGTCTTGAGCAAAATGCTAACCGTATGCCAAGACATATTAGAAAGAACATATCCTTCAAGCCTGTGAATGGCGAAGAAGAAAGTGAAGATATTGAAGAAGAAAAGGATGTTGAATTTTGCAGTCATTTAGAGGACAATAGCAATCAGAGGAACGCTAACCAAATTAATCCATACAGCCTGCCAAATGGAGCACTGCAAAATAGGTTGGTCACTGATGAATTTGGCAATCAGATTGAGACACCAAGCATTGAGCAGGCATTGCAGATTATCCATGATAATGAAAAATCTCCGAGTGTTACTCAGCCAGAACAAATTACAAATGGGTTTTTTCTTCACAATACAGAGATGAGCATCCTAAACTCAAATCTAAAACCCAATCAGACTAGTCCTGATATCATTGCAGATACTAAAGGTGCCCTTAGTCCTGTGACTGACAATACAGAAGTGGATACTGGAATCCATGTCCCTTCAGACATTCCAGAGACTATGGACGAGGATTCAACTTTGAGGGATTATACTGTCAGTTTAGACTCAGATATGGAGGAGTCATCTCGATTTCTTCATGAATATGATGGCAGAGGCAGCAACCACAAGGAGTTATTGAGTCCGTGTCCAAGCTCGGTCAGTGCCAAATCGCAAGCGGGTAGCAGCGCATCCTCAAGTTCAGGGGTAAAAATGACCAGCTTTGCAGAACAGAAATTTAGGAAGCTGAATCATACAGATAGTCGAAGTAGCGGTAGCAGTTCTCAGAAAACAACCCCGGAAGGCTCTGAGCTGAACATTCCTCACATGGTTTCGTGGGCTCAAATACCAGAAGAATCCCCCGTCCCTCAGAGCAGAGATACAACACAGTTGCTGGCCTCTGAAATGGTGCAATTGAAGATGAAGCTGGAAGAGAAAAGACGAGCCATTGAAGCACAGAAGAAGAAGGTTGAGGCTGCATTCACGAAGCAGAGGCAAAAAATGGGAAGAACGGCATTCCTTAACATTGTGAAAAAGAAAAGTGATTCAATTTCCCCGTTCAGAGAAGAAGCAGCTGGAGCAGAGGATGAGAAAGTGTTTACTGACAGCACTCAGTTGAAAGAGAAAGATACCCAAAAACCTGGTGAACATCTAAACAAGATGGCAGAGATGATCAAAACAAGCAGCGAAAAGCCTCAGGTTAAATGGCTGAAGTCTCCCAATACCACAGCGGATACAGAAAAGCAATGTCATTTGGTAAGTCCATCAGAAGAAAATTTGAACGAAGGAGACTTTGTGGAGTATACAAAATCTATTGAGAAGCTCAATTCGTCTCTGAACTTCCTTCAGCAAGAAATGCAGCGCCTGTCACTTCAGCAAGAGATGCTCATGCAGATGCGGGAACAGCAGGCCTGGGTTATTTCACCCCCTCAGCCTTCTCCTCAGAAACAATTTCGGGAGCTCAAGCCTTCATTGAAATTTACGGGATCATCTGTACCCATTGCCCCATTTTCTGTGGAATCCCCTCGGCCTTCCCATCAATCCCCACAGGCATCTTCTAGGAAGAGTTCAACTCTCCCCGTCAAAGCGCAAAGGACTCCGAGGCCAAATGAATTGAAATTAACCCCTTTGAATCGCACTTTGACTGCACCACGATCGGTGGACAGCCTTCCTCGTCTGAGAAGATTTTCTCCAAGTCAGGCATCCATTCAGACGAGATCATTTGTTTATTTTGGAGATGATGGTGAACGTAACCTGTCAAAGGAGGTCAAAAATACAACAGAAGAAGCAGCTAAAGGAGAAGCTGGGGAGAAAACAACTGAAGAGCTTGCTGAGCAAAATCCAGAGCAGCAGCAGCTCAAGCCCCTGGAATCTACAGTTTCGGAAGTCCTCTCCCAGCCCATTACAGAAATTGTCTGCCTTACTCCCAGTGAAGAGCTGCTGGATCCCTCATCATTGCTAGTGCCTCCACCTAAAACAGTTAACCTCATAGAGGTTTCCCTTACAGATCTGAAGCCACCTGAAAAATCAGAAGAGATTGTGGAGAAATCAGAGGGCGAGAGTGACAAAGAGCAGTTGGAAGATGACCAAAAATTGTGCTGTGGGTTCTTTTTTAAGGTGAGTGAACAAGTCCATCATGAGAACAAAACAGCTAGAAGTTAGGCGTCTCTGAAAAACATGTTTACGCTTTGGTCACTGCTAAAGTCTCTCTGGTAGTTTCCCCACACTCCTGTATATGTTATGTATTTGGAGCATTGAGCAAAGGAAGAAATAAATGGGAGATGGATGGTTCAAGTATTAGGAATGTAGTTTCTACAATTTCTGGATCAGAATGTGTTGATTGTAGTAGTTAATGGCTGGTGTTGTCCTTCAGATTATGATCTCAGTCTAGAAATCAGTGTTTCCTAAACTCTGGTCCTCAGTTTTTGACTTCAGCTCCCAGGATCCTTGATCATTGGCCAAAACAGCTGAGGTTTCTGGGAACCAGTTCCAGTTTTAGGAGGAGCTTGAAAACGTGGTTGTTCCAGTGTGCCTTCCCAGAATAAGGAAACTCCAAGCAATATGTCCCCAAATGCACTTTACTAGAGACCCAGGATATCTGCATGCCCCATCCCCCTCCAAATACCTACCCTTTTCACCTGGCCATGCCCAGCATATTTTTAATTTTAACTATTACATTTGGCCCTGCCATAGATTTTAATGCATCGTGGTGTTTTGTTAATGGTTATTGCTTTTATTTTGATTTCATTTTGTTGTTGTTTTTACTGATGTATTTGGGCTCGGCTTCATGTAAGCTGCACCGAGTCCTTCGGGAGATGGTAGCGGGGTATAAATAAAGGTTTATTATTATTATTATTATTATTATTATTATTATTATTATTATAAAACACTTGGAGGACTGGGGTTTTTAGATCAGTGGTTCCCAAACTTTGGGTCTCCAAGTGTTTTGGACTTCAGCTCCCACAGTTCCCAACAGCTGGTAAACTGGCTGGGATTTCTGGGAGTTGAAGTTCAGAACACATGGAGGCCCAAAGGTTGGAAACCACTGTTTTAGATAATTTAATCCCATTTTCCAAGTGTCTATTCCCTTATCCCTCTCAGCAATACAGTTAGTGTCTGTGTCTTGGAAATATAAAACTGGGCAATGTAAGTTCCTCTGCAAAATAGGATTATAGTCATTTTGCTCTGTTATATGAGGAATGGTTTTCAAAGACTGCAGTTTGGTGTAGGATTCTGTCTATTTAGGGCAGTGGTTCTCAACCTGTGGGTCCCCGGGTGTTTTGGCCTACAACTCCCAGAAATCCCAGCCAGTTTACCAGCTGTTAGGATTTCTGGGAGTTGAAGGCCAAAACATCTGGGGACCCATAGGTTGAGAACCACTGCCCTAGGGAATCTCTTGAACCTGCACATAATTTAGTGGAGCAGATTACTATAAAAGAACAATATAATGTGAAAAATTAGACTTATTTTTCACTCTATAAATTTAAACAAGTTATTTTGAAACTTTATGTTGATCCCAACCCTTCTTAG